AACAAAAAAAAAAAAAAAAAAAAAAAGAAGTAATAACAAGAAAATTGATGCATATTTTAATGATATATTATAAATCCCTTTAACTACTAATTAACTATTAGTAGTTAATTCTACTCACTGTTTTAACATACGTTTGGTTTAACAGATTATTCAGCATAACACTTCTAATTAAGCTGATCAATTTGTATTATATTTAAATTATTAGCAGTGTATCCTGAATATGTTTAAAGAGGTTGGTCACAATACAAAAAAATTACATGGAACTTTACATATTACTTTTTTTGTCAGTTTAAATGCAATATATAAGAAGTTTATTTTGCTATTGTGGAAAAGCTAAATGTAAATGAAATTACCTTCTTCCATGCAGATGTATTATCTTGAAAAGGAAAATGCTTCCATGTTGTAGCCAGATCTCCTATAGTAAAATTTTTAAACATTCTTTTAAAATAAATATGCATATGAATATCTGTATCTTCTTTGGGATGATAATAAAGTCGCAGGTCTAGGACCATATCTTGTATAAGATGTGAGAGACCATGACAGTATCTGAAAATGGAATAAATAATAATGCCTTTGATTTAAAGTGGCCCATGCAATATACATTGAACACTCTATCTCTCCAAATATATTTCCATAATGTGTTGAAGCATACTAACATTTGTATGATTTTTTTAAAGAATTATTTTATTTATCTTTATTTATTCATTTATTTTAATTTGACCAGAGAGAGAGGAATGGAGAGAGAGAGAGAAAGTGAGAAAGCAAGCCGCCAGGCTTGGAACTCAAATCACAGTCGGCCATGTGGGAATCCAGTGCCCTAAAGCACCATGTCACCTCCTGGCACCCATTCATATGATTTTTAAACTTCTCCTGAATATATCTAGGATTAAATGTGTTGTCTTTTTTCCTCGCTAAAGAATTTGGGTTAAAAAAAAAAGAATTTGGGTATAACTTGAGCAGGCCTATGAAGTGCGTAGGGAGTGAATACTTCTGAACTCTTCTATTGAATTTGTAATGTTACTATGGTCTGATCTTTCCATCAAAAT